TTTTTTCTTTAAAACATTAGTGAAGAACTCAACAAAGAGCAAAAACAACTGCTTGAGAACATAACGCCGCAATAGCCACGCTATCTTACAGTATCTGCAAAAGACAGTCTTAAATACAGCTTTAAATTACGCTTTTTATCACGTGCTGGCAAGGAGTGGACCATGTGCTGTCCCATCAGCCTCACCAAGCAAAGGTGCAGGTACCCATGCTCATTAGCTTTTCTGCAACATTGAACAGCAAAGTCAAACTGTGCCATTTAAACACAACCGAATGTGTGCAAAAATCTGCAATTTAGGCAAGATCTGAGAACATGTGCCTGTCTCCAGCCATGTTGAGATACGACACGGATTATTTACTTTCACATAAGGGGCTGAACCCGCTTCTGCCAGAGTCGGTCGGCAGCTATCTGATCTATCGCAGATCACCTTCCTGGCTAATTATGTACTCACCTCACACCTACACGCAGCTGAGAAACAGAAAAGACCATGAAGATGTTCAACAAAAAACAAGCTTTTTTTTTTTTTTAATAATGTTTGCTTTCTGTGGAATAGCAACCAGCCTCAAAACACCAAGTCTTCCCTATTCTTTCTAACAGCTAAGGGGAAGGCCAGAAACTAAGTTAAACATCATGGCTCTGTGAACTTGTTGGAAATTTCACCCCTCATTTCATCAGGACCAACATTTTGTTCGTGAACTACCATCTCCCTTCACAATTTCTTTAAAGGCTTTGGTATATGAGCTCTTTCACAATGAAAGTCGTCTTCCTACACGCACGTTGTGAAGTTGATTTATCCTTGCCAGTTATAAACAGCCATAGGTAGATTTATTTCCAATATTACTTTTAGTGTCCTGTAATCCCCCTAGCCATTTGCTAGAGAAAGTTCAGCTCGGACAGTCCCAAAGTTAACCCACACTCCCAATGAAAAAATTGACTATAATTTCAGCGGCAGCTGAGAGCAGTCTCGCCGCCGGCAGCAGCCCACGAAAGGTCCAGCGCTGTAAGCCACAAAAAGCGGGCTTCTCCACCACGACCTGCGGGTGACACCCGTCGCCGTAATGATGCTCTTTCGTACCAGCACGCTCATCATTTGAATGTCTCCCCTCAAGCAAACCCGAGGAGCACACTCTAAAGGAACAGATCCTTCTAATCCAGCCAGTCTGGTTCCCCCCGTGACCGTACACCAAGCCGAGTCGGTGGCGTACGCTGACCTAAGAGCAAGGAGGGAGACTTCCTCTTCAAGGTGCTGCTTCCCGCCCCTCGCACTGGGACGAGTCCTCTGGCTGAGCCTGATACGGAGCGGACTGAGAACAACGGCGGTGGCGGGGGGGGGAAGAGCACAGCAACAGAGGATATCCAGGTATCCTGCTGAGCTTTCCAAAGGATGCAGAGAGGCATTAGGAAACAGCCTGAGGAAACCCCTCAGCCAGCCCCCCGGCCAATCTTCCAGGAGAGGCAGAGGATCACCGGTCTGCCTTTGTACCTCCAGGGTTACCTCTCTGTCCGGCACTCAAGATGCCAGGTAAGGTGTCCAGGCCCATGAAGTGCATGTGTTGAAATATTTCTTTAAAAATGTATTGCCGGGAGCTACACATTTGTGGGGGGAAATGCTGAAATGCTGTCAGCAATGGTTGACACAAATGGTTGCGCAGAAATAATGACATCTAGTTATTTCTGTTCATATTATTTGGGGG